CAGGCCCCCGGTCATGGTGGGGGGACCGGTTCCATGTGTTGTCCCCGCACCTCCTCGTCCCTCCTGACTGGTCCTGGCTCCGACTCCAGTCGGTAGGAGTCACCTGCAGCGTGCTGTGGTGTGAACTGAACTCAGGACGGGACGGCACTTCTGTGCGTGCTCCGCTCACTGCCGTGCGTCTGCTTACAGGGTGGACTTGGATGAGCGCTCTGGGGAGTACTCATGCATCTTCCTCCCAGAGATGGCAGGCAGGACCAGAATCGAGGTGAAGGGTGAGCTTGGCCAGCCCTCGGGCGCATCTGAGGAGGGGGCGGAGGACACCGCCTGCCAACCCAGCCAGGCCACCGCTTAGGAACCGCCAGAGAGTGGGCTCAGGCTCCTGCCTTGCTCGGTCTCCCCTGTAGGGCTCCCCAATATCAAGGCCGTGAAGAGGTCAGAGCATGCCACTGAGCGGGAGACGGTCGTGCTGGGCTGCAAGTCGGACTCCTTCCCCCTGGTCAGCGAATGGGTGTGGTACAAGATGGAAAGCTCTGGGGACCAGGTGAGACCCATGTCTGCCCGGGGACGAGCTGGCCTCAGCCTCGGCCTCAGTCCCTACAAGGTCCACCTGCCCCCAGGTCATCAGCAACAGCTCCCACAGCAAGTACTTGGTGATGTCCTCGGAGACCAAGACGGAGCTGCACATCTTGAACCTGGACCTGGAGACAGACCCTGGCAAGTATGCGTGCAACGGCACCAACTCGGAAGGCACCGGCCAGGCCGTCATCATGCTGCGCGTGCGAAACCGCTTTGCCGCCCTTTGGCCCTTCCTGGGCATCGTGGCCGAGGTGCTGGTGCTGGTCACTGTCATCTTCATCTACGAGAAGCGGCGGAAGCCGGACGAGGTCCTGGATGGTGAGCCCACACGCCCTTTGCTCGCCGTTCGGTTGAGGGGGGCGGGGTCCCTGCCGGGGGGGCTCCCTACCCAGGCCTCATGTGCCCCACTGTCCTCCCTCACTTGGCTGCAGGTGGGTGTCCTCCGCGGTCAGTGGCCGCCTTCCGCTGCTCCACCTGTGCTGGTGGTGGCTGCTTGGGGCCCGAGGCTTGTGGCAACCAGCAAGCTCTTGACTTTGTGCAGATGTTGCTCAGGAAGCCTGAGCTTGCCCTCCTGCCTGGCACCTGTGGGCAGGGCTCCCAGATGCCCCTCGGGCCGTGACCCCACACGGCTCGTTCTGAGGGTGCATGTCCTGGGGGCAGGATTGGCTGCCTGCATTTACAGTCAGGGACACTGAGGGCAGGGCCCAACAGGACCGGTGCCACCCTGCAAGGGGCCTGGTGCAGGGACCGCTCCTGATGGCCTGCCCTCTCCTTGCATGTGGCTGCGCATCTGCACAGATGAGGACACAGGCTCCGCTCCTCTGTAAGTCGTGGCCTTGCTGGGAGGAGGGTGGGTGGGCCGTGTCCCCCGGGCAGGGCTTAGAGGACTGCCGGCCTGGGCAGCGTCCACTGTGCACGTGCTGGGTGGGAATGGGGCCGCTGTTCCGTCCTCCTGAGCGCCCAGAAGCCCTCCGTCCTATCCCCCAGGAAGAGCAGCGGGCACGTGAATGACAAAGGCAAGAACGTGCGCCAGAGGAACGCCAACTGAGGTGAGGCGTGGGGGGAGGGGAGGGTGCGGGGCCTGCCCAGCCGGCGTCAGGCTGGGCTCTGAGCATCCCCCTGCCCTGCACAGGCATCCAGCCTCCGTCTAGAGCAGCTCAGCGTCTGGTGTTCGCAGATCCTCTCAAAGGAGACCCGCCCTACGAAAGCAGACCACACCGTGGGTCAAATCACAATGTTTCTTTCCTTTTTTAAACTCAACTAGGGTTTCCTACACATAGAATTCTGTTCCTTAGGGGTTTTGTTTTTCCTTTTTAAACATTTTGTGAGCGCCTCGGGGGAGCTGTGAGCTTCCTGTGAGACCCCTCAGCCCGTCCCCTCAGCTGCCCCCGCCCACCTGACCCCTCGCTGTCCCCCCACTGTCTCCCACTTGTCCCTCCTCTCCCTTGGGCATTTAGCTTGCTAGCGCCTAGTGGGGGTTTGGAAGGGCAGGTTGGCCTTTTTCTGGGGCTCTACCTCCTGAGACTGCTGGGCCTTGCTGGGACCCTTTGTGGAAGGTCACAGGTCGTGCACGGTGCGAGTGTCCTGCCTGTCTGAAGTGGCGCTGGCGGGGTGCCTCGGGTCTGTGGTCGTGCGTCAGGACAGCTCTGCACGCGGCTGCTGGTGGGCCTGCCCTGCCCCTGCCGTCCACACGCCCAGCTGCAGGGGAGTAGTCCGGCGACCACGCTGCAGAACCCCCTCCCCAGCTGCTCCCCAGCACCCTGACTCACCCACCACCTGCCTGCTCACCAATAAAGAAAGGCCGACCCGTCTCTCTCTTCTTGGGCTCCCGTGTGCGCCGCCTGGGTCTTACAGGAGAGCTAGCAGGGGCGTGAGCGCCACGTGGTGCTGAGTGCTGGGTGCAGTTGGGCTGCATGGGGGTGAGGCAGGGCTAACCGGCTGGCCAGGAGCTTTGTTCCCAGGCTGAAGGGTGAAGGTGGGGTGGGGGGTGCAGAGGACCTCAAGGGGCCCTGTGAGTGCTCCAGAGCAGGGCCGGGCCCCCCCAGGACAGGCGTCCCTCCCGAACCCACAGCTGCCTGGCACCCACCTGTCCCGGGCTAGAAGCTCCCTGCGGTGTGTGATGGAGGCGGGGGGGGGGTGCAGCCAGGACCTCATGAGAGAGCCCCAGCAGGTGTCCCCAGTAGAACCAGCCCCTTGGGACTCCGCTTCAGCCCAAGAGGGACTGGCTGAGGCCTGGAAAGCCATGGAGGTGGCCCTCCTGGCCCCCAGAAGAAGGGAGTCCCTGTCAGCTGAGCCCAGGCTGACCCCTGGAGCAAACTGGGCGACATGGACAGGGTTGAAGGGCTGGGTCATGCTCTAGGGGAGCAGGTGGGAGGAGGCAGGGCCTCGCCAAACTTGGGAGCTCTAGCACGTGCCATCTAGGCCTCCCGTCTGGTGCTGGAGGGAAAACTATCCCAGGGAAGGGAAAGGGGGCTCGTTCAGGGAGACCCTGCTGCCCACTGAGGGACTGTGTTTACCCTCTGTCTCCCCTCTGGACATGGGCCCAGACCTTCAGCAGGTCCGGAGGAGGTCGCCAGAAATGAGGGTTTGGATGTGAAATCTGATGTGGGCAAAAACTCCAGCATAATGATACCGCAAATGCTGAAGATGGACTCAGCCCACGAGCCACCAGTTTGACTCCCAGGCTCTGAAATGGGAGGCCTGACCCCTCTGGGTGGTGGCCGACCCGTGTTCCCCAACCCCACTGGCCAGATGCTTCACCACGTCCCCCAGGGCAGCAGTACACAGCTGCAGGTGGTTTCTCTGGGCTTCTGTGGGCAGAACAGGGTCCTTTATGGAGGCCCTGCACACCACAGCCTAGGGGGTTTGCCCCCTACCCCAGGTCACAGGGAGGAATGTGAGGCCTCGGGGCTGGGGGAAGCTGCGGACCTCGCCCTTCCCTCCGGCCGTCACCAGAGGGAGCCACGCGCGTGCCACTGGACAGGGCTTGGGGGCCCAGGGAGCCCCTCCTCTACAGAGGTTCTTGGGGTCGTACCTGCCTGGCCCTGTGGACATCCCAGCTGGACATGCCCCAGGGCCAACCTCCCTAAGCCCTGGGGCTCCCTGGGGCACCAGCAACATTGGCTGGGCACCCCTGGCCTAGCTGGGGCTGGGGGATCCGTCGTGGACAGGCAGCGGTCCGGTGGGGGAGGAGGTGGTGAGGAGCTGGCCCCTTGCTGGGGATGCTGCCAGGGCACCAGGGCTCAGGTGCAACCCCCCTCCTCCCCTGAAGTCAGAAGGGGGGGGCATTGGGTTGCTAGGGGTCTGTGTCCTCTGGGAGGCCATGGCTGGGTTCATCCTGCTTCCTGCTGCATCCCGGGTACCCAGAGCAGAGGGGTCCAGACAGGAAGTGTGGGAGCTTCTGGCAAGCAGAGCCTTGGGCACCAGAGGGATGCCGTGGAGCACGCTCTGTGATGTAGCGAGTGAGGCTTGGCCTTAGCAGACCCCTCACTGGTCCTCCTTCCCGAAGAGACCCTCCCCCCACAGAGAGACGCCCCTCACATGGACACAGTTAGCAGAAATGGGGTCACTCACAAGCAGCTTTGTATACCTTCTTTCAGCACTGAAGTATTCATCCATCTGTCCATCTCTCTGTAGAGCGCAGCAGTGTGCAGCCCTCCGCCGCTGGGGGTGATCTTGTCAACAGCCTGCTGCAGCCTGCCTCGGTTTCCCCAGAGTGGGATGAAGAAGTCACAGGATTCAGTGAAATCATCTTTGGCGAGTGCTTGGAGGCTCTGGAACCGGCGTCTCGGGATCCCAACCTGCCGGGGGGGCAGAGGGGCAGGCCTGGGGTGTCCCTCCGATGAAACAAGGGCACAGTCCTGATGCTGCTTGGAAGTGTCTGCTGGCATCTCTGGGCCCACAGACGGGGCTGCCTCCCTTTCCCTGGGACCCCCCTCCCAGACCGGGAGCCCCTGAGCACCTCCCCCTTACAGTGAGGGCCTCGGCCAGCAGCAGAAGACAGAGAGGAAACAAAATGGGACAGGCGTGTTGGGGGGGTCACCCGAGTTTGGTCCTCCCACACCACCCTTGCACCCACCGGGCACGATGATCTCTGTAAGGAAAGGAAAACCCTGGTGAACCCTAGGTCAGCAGAGTCGGGGACCCCAACCTGGTCGTACAGACAGCAGGAAACCGAGGTGGTAGGCTGCTCCGCCTGTGGGCACTCGCCACTCCGGGCGGGTCACGAGGGCTGGCCCTGCACCATGATGGCTCCAGACCCAGGCCAGGGGTCCTGCCACCATGGCTGATCAAACATTCTGTGTTTCTGGAGTCTGGCAGTGGGCTCTCTAGCCCTTGAGGCTTGAACGCTGGGACCCGTCACAAGGCCCTGGCCTTGTTTTGTCTTCCGGGTCTATTTTTCACTCCTAGGGTCCCCAGACTCTATGGGCTTCGGGGCTTTCGACCTGGACTTGTCCCGACTAGAGAGGAAGCAGACTCGTGAGTGCTGAGAGCGGCTGTGGAGTGGGGTGGCTGGGAGGTCAGGAAGTGCCCCCCAGGGCCTATTCTGGGGCCCAGGAATGGTGAGGAAGAATGGGGGCAAACCAGATGGTGGGGAGGGATTGGGGTTTCTTTCCAAAGGCAGTGAGGAGTGGAGAACAGTTTTAGGCAACAGACCGTTGTGAACTGACTCAGGGTTTGATGCCTGTCGGCACAATGATTGCCATCTCTGAGTGTCCTCACCTTCACCCACCCCCCTGGGACCTTGAGATCCTTTCTTCTCCCACAAGCCAGGCACCAGCCTGCCACAGGGCCTTTGCATGGGCCACACCGCCTGCCAGACACTCTTCCCACAAATACACTCATGACACCAGCTCTCCCTTCCTGCAGGTCTTCCCTCAGACATCACCCCCAGCACCTTTCTCGTCCCTTTCCTGACTCTGAGTTGTGCAACACTGACCACCTTCTGATGGACAATAGAATATCTATGAAACATAATCTTTACCATGTTGATTGTCCCTTCCACTCGACCGTCAGCAGGGTACAGGTGGCCTGAATCCCAGCCCCCCAATCAGGTGCTTAGTAAACATTTGTTGAATGAATGCACAGAGTACTCTGCCCCGGGGAAGTGGTGGGAGGGAGTGGGAGAGATGGAGAGGCTGGTGGCCATCTGGCCCAGGGTGGAGCCTGTGGGATGGAGAGGATGCATCAGGACCTGGGAACAGGGTCCCCAAGGCTCAGAGAGGGGCCGGGACCCCCTAGGTGACTCACAGTCCAGACCTGCCTCTCTCACTTCCCAGCGTTGTGGGTCCTCAGGCGGGACCGTGGGTCCGCCGCCTCCCCGCTCTCAGCGGCGAGCCCTAGGGCTCTGGCGGCCTGCCCGGACTGACATGCTCCCGGGGTGAGCATAAAAGATCCCCCTTCAGCTGGAACACACATCTGCCTGGGGCGGGCTGCAGCCTGGCACTGCCGATCTGCTGCCCGCCCAGCTTCTCCCTCACCACCTCAGGACAGAGAGCAGCCCTGCCCGCCCTCCCGTGTGGCGGCAGGTCTGGCCTGGCCCAAGGCATGGCAGAAGTGGCCCCCTGGGAGGCCAGACCTGCTTGGCAGGAGCACGGGAGTCCCCAGGGCTTGAAGCAGCCTGGTGGGGGCTCAAGATGGCCTGGCTCAGTCCATCCCTCAATCACCCATGAGTGCCTGCCGTGTGCAGAGACGACCTCTCTGCTTTCACGGGCCAGACATACTGGCAGGTGCATGCACCCACGGAAAAGTGCTATGAGCGCGGGAGGCTCCCAGGAGGCCAGGACGCTCCTCTCTCCTCTCTGTCTCCATTACCTGCCTCTCAGGATACCTCCCCCCACCCTCTGGTTGAGCTGGGATGGGGACCAGGGGCTAGGGATGGGGTCCTGGGCCTATGCCCCCATGTCACCTAACACCAAGTAACCCCCCAAACTGACTCCAGCCCCAGACACAGAGCCTCCGCTGTCTTCCCAGAGCTGGGGGATGAGTGGCCAGCTGGGGCCTGAGCCTTAGAGGCAGGGAAATGGGGGCAATCCGGTGGGACTCCCATGTGGGCATCTGGTGGGAAAGGGTGAGGGAGTCTGGGTCCCCCCGCAATGACCTTGGGAATTTCTCCATTTTAAAGCCCACCAGCCTCGCAGGAGACCACAGCCCCCCACTGAACTTCAGGGCATTATTGGGGGGGGCACCAGTACCATCGGGTGGCTCTTGCTGTTGGCCTGTCTTCCTCACGTGCAGGAGGTGGGAAAGAGGGGGTGACTGTGGGACTTGGAGACTGGCCGCATGGACCCCATTTTGCCCCTCCGCACACAACATATTCCCACCGGTCTTTGTCCCGGGCCTTCAAATTACAAAGCAAGGGCTCTTTTGGCCTTTAAAAACATCCTTTTATTACGGAAATTCTCCAGCCTGTAGAAAGGAAAGAGGCTGGCACCGGGCGGTCGCACTTTACTGCACCTGTCTGCGCCCCCTCGACCCGTACCGTAGGCGCGAGGAAGTCCCCTGGCTCAGGCGGATCTGGCCCGTGGCTGGGCTCAGTGACCTTGGGCGTGTCCTTCCGCCTCGCGGGCCTCAGTTTCCCTTTCTGGGACGAGGTCTGAGCGGATCTCCAAGGCCTCGGGCCGCGTGACCTTGGGCCGTTCCCGACTCCCCGGCCTCAGTTTCCCCGGCGCGGGGTCTGGGCGCGGCGCGCCGGGAGGGGGCTCGGGCAGAGGCGGGGCCCTCGCCCCGCCCCCGCCCCCGCCCCGCCCCCACCGCGGCTCCGCCCCGGCCCCGGCCCCGCCTCCCCCCCCTCCCTCGGGCTCGGGCCGGCGGCGGCGGCGGCGGCTCCGCTCCGCACTGCCCGGCGCCGTCTCGCCATGGACGCGCGCGGGGGCGGCGGGCGGCCCGGGGAGAGCCCGGGCGCG